AAAAAAAAAATGCCCTACTCAGTTTCCATTCATTCAAAGTTGAACAATTTTGATATATATAATTGTAAAAAGAATAATTCTATCTAACATCAATTTAGGTACAAGTATGTGATAACTGATAAGTCATAATAAATGAATTATAAATTATTATATTTAATTGAACCTGTAATTTAATGACATAAATGATGGCACCTAGATCTATATTAAACATCAGTGGTGCTAAATAGCATTAAAATCGGCAAAAATCCTAGCTTTTAAAAACAATGGAATAAACTAACAAACTTATTTCTATAATCAACGAGGTCTATTGGTACACGTTACTCATTTGGAAAAGGACATAATATAAAATAATTTCAGGCACAGTCCAGGTGATGTGGAAGATATAAGATTTGAGTGAACTGATTTAGTTAAACATTAGACAACGTAAATTGTGTATAGGAGGAAAGTCTTATAATCCTTATCATGTGATGGTTACGACTTACGACAGACAGAAAGCAAATTTGATTGGTTTTAGTGTGAAAAATAATTGGCTCATCACATGGTAAGTTGGCGCCGGCCAATTCTCAGCGTGGATTACCTAACTTGTACGTAATTTCCACGCCTTACTTAAAGGCTCAAAGATAAAATTTCAATCAATATATTATTCAGTTTTAGTTTATTTTAACTGAGTCATTGATCTTCAATAATCATCGAATAATCCCCTTTTACTTGCACTTCGCCGTGTCATAAATATGTCCGTCGTTCAATATTTTATGTATACTAGTAGGTGTGTCCTCCAAAGATTCGATAGATCGAGGCTGAGATTAATTTTGTGTACGTATATATGATTTTTGAGTCTATTATGGGATAATTAACTGTCTAAGTTCTAACCACATGTTAGGTTATTCAGGATAATGTCCAGTTGTACCATGCTTGAATATTAGGCAGTGTTTTGTTGGCCTAAACTTCATTCTACATAGGAATCAAATTCCACCGCGTATGCACGTGCACATGATTCTTCTTCCTTAATCCTTATTTTGTTTAATGTTTTAAAAATCAATTTGATCATTGACTCGAAAAAAGTAACATATCGAAACTTAATGAATCGAATCAAGATTAAATTGTTAGTAAAACATTTAATTAAATGCTTCTTTTAATAATATGTAATTGCACCGAAAATTTAGACATCTCCTCTTTTTTTTCTTTTTTTTCAGTTGAACCCAATCATTGAACCATCGATCTAACATTTTACTATTCAACTTGTTTCTTAATTTCCAGCCCTTTTATAATATTAAATGTGCAGATTCGATTATATACCTACCAGCCAAACATGTCACATGCCCTTCTTTAATCTATTCTCTTCTCTTTCTCTCAAAATATGATGAATCTGATGATGTCATAAATCATAATATTCGTTTTTTCTGTCTTAATAAAGTGTAATAAAGATGGATTAATAAGGCCATTATTAGTAAATTTTAATAGCTTCACTCTTACGCTACTATCTGGTGTGTGTGTGTGTGTTTTTACGTTGAGGTTTTTTGTTGGTGGAGGAATATGCGCCCCATTTTATGTGGAACCTAATTAAGCACAAGAAACTAGCTGGATTCCTAATAAATTATTTAATTTCATATGCAACAATTTGCCAAATTACATTCATTTCAAGATTAAGATTTTCAAGACATTCTCGAATGCTGCTATGTAACGGTTACTTTGAAGTCAACAACTCTCTTATGTTTCGATATATATGTGTCTTGAAAGCCAATATTACTATGCCATGTTAAAAACTTAAAATGCCTTTCGAGTACATGGTGTTATTGGTTTATGGATTTAAGCTCTTTCACTAAAAAAATTACTTTTTAATAACAAACTTTACGCTCATAAAATCCATTGTTTGAACACTGATTTTTTTATTAACTCTAATTATAAACTCATTATTAATATTTAATACGTCCATGATTAATAATTATTTTATGTTTTCTGCTGTATACGGAATCAGTTATTATAAAATAAGTAATTGTTACCCCCACGGAATTTAATTATCTAAAAATAAATTCTTACCAAAACCTTAAAGTCAATTACAAATTTGCAACTACAACAAGCACTTTCATACGGAACTCCAAAGACCGTGATAAGTTAATTTGGTCCAACGGTTTTATATAGATTAAATTAGTAATTGCAGTTGGAATTAAGCCTTCATATTAGAGCCGACATCTCAAAATATGTGATAAGCCAAATTATTTGTTGCATACGGACAAAGTCCATGCGCCGCACAAAATATTTTAAGAATCAAGAAAAAATTTGATTGCGATATTCGACATGCATTAAATCGATTTTTTTTATTTTTTGAGAAATTTGGAGTCGAGCCATACCCCCATTAGGCTACATCGGATATCATTTTAATTAATTTCAAGTGAAATATATATGTTTTTGAGTATTTAAATTTTGGTCGAACCAAGAAAAAAAAATAAAACAAAAAGAGTGATGACATTTATGTTTAATTCAAACCAAACTGGGGCTAATTATACAAGACTTGCATTAAAAAGAAGCATTAATATCTACACCTAAAATCTACAGATCCAATGGTCAGCAATATCTGTATAGACCAATTCTACCTTCGCAATTACTACACAACTGACCCTTCTGAAATCCTAACTGACAACAAGAAGACATCATTGGCCGTGCCACCAGCGGCGCCATCGGAGATGGTGTCGCCGCCGGTTGCAAGAAATCAAAGAAAAGCTTTGACTCTGCAGATGAGTTGAAAGAAGCTGTCTTTCTATACTTTGATTGAGAAGGAAGTCCTATGGATAGTTCAAGGTCAATTGCATTAGCATGTCTAATGTTTTCCTCCGGCGGTGGCGGAGCCTCCGAGGTGGTGCCGCTGCTGCATTTGGTGTCGTTAGAAGAGTCCGTTGGAGGCATGCACTTGTTACCGGACTCATTGATCAGGAAAGTGGATTTTTCTGATGATGGTGCTGAGTTACTGAAGTCCAAAGACATATTCGCCGTGGTATTCGGGGCGGAAGTTGCCGGATCCTTGGTGGTGTCAGTGGTGGCGTTGCCGTTGAGAGGACAGTGAGTTTGAGGGTCAATGCCACGGCTAAGAAGCTTGCGTTTAATGTGGGTATTCCAGTAATTCTTGATCTCATTATCAGTCCTACCGGGCAATCTTCCAGCTATCAAAGACCATCTGCAGGAAACCGAATTAGAAATTTTTTTTTTTTTACAGCAGTAAAAATAATAAAATGTTCTTTTCTCTAAAATAATAACAAGAATATTGTTAAAATATTCTCGTTTCAATTTACCCTTTTTACTCACTTAATCACATTTCAGAGAAAAGGAAGAAACAGATTTCGCGTCCCATTTAAAAATGAAAACTTCCCATCAATGGAGATAAATATTCACACTATTTTTATGGTCCTATTTATACAATTCTCTCAAACAAATTAAAAATTTCTGAAAAATTAAGAGAAAGGGACTTACTTGTTTCCAAGCAGACTATGAAGTTTGATTATGATATCATCTTCTTCTTCAGTAAAATTCCCTCTCTTGAGATCAGGCCTTAGGTAATTTATCCACCTCAATCTGCAACTTTTACCACACCTCAGCAGCCCTAAAACAAGAAAAAAGAATATAAATGAGTCCGGTGAAAAAGGATCATTTTAGGCAGATACATACTGTCACGACCGAGTACCTGCGGCTTTTGGGAGGGAACGCCAGCAGCCTTCACCATGTAAACGGATGTAATTGATGAGTCTTTGGTCTTCTTCTTTAGTCCAAGCGCCTTTGTTTGTATGAGCTTTTTCACAGCAAGGCGAGCGTCCCATGATATAAGACTTTCTTGAAAAACTATGCAGTAATTCGAGAAACAGAGATTTTTTTTCTTGTACACTTTTTTCTGGTTTTCTAATGATGTTTGATTGATTGAGAGAGAAAAGTTTGATTTCAAGAAAATGGAAGAAGATGGTATAATATATGAATGAAAAGGTGGGCGTGGGGTGGACTATGGATAGGGTAGGCAAGGGTGGGGTGGAGTCTGAGTGGATGGTGGGCAGGTTGGCAATGGATGATGAGAGAGAGAGAGTCTGATATACAATAAAGAGGGTGGGTGAGTAGGCAGAAATTTGGAGGGTTTGTAACAAACGGAGGGAGGATTTGACCGAGTTGGTGAAAAGGACAAGTAGTTAATAGATGGGGTTGGATTTGGTAGGTAGGTGCACTTTAACAGATGAGTTGGCCTTGTGCAGTAGTCACTTCCTCTCTCTCTCACTTTCAAATTCTCTCTCCAGGGTCTAGATTTAGGACAAAATGTATGATTGGTCCCTAACATATTGTCACATAGCAAGCCATTAACTCGTCCAGACCTCGAGAAAATACTTCAATGGGATAGTCATATATGAAAAGAAAATAAAAAAGGAATGAACTGCATGCTTAGCGACTCCCACCTGTTTTGTCCTGAACCTTGATGAAGGAGATAAATCACAGGTTATGCCTCAAAAAGTATAGGTTGAAAGACTACTTGTATACTTGCACTTATCCAATGGCCAAATCCATATTTCAAGATTCGAACCCTTGACGCTGCAGCCTCAAACAAAATTGGAGTTTTTTCACATTCCCCTTTTACCACTTGGAGATGTGCCCTGAGGGCGGGATAATCACATATGCCCATGCGATAAGTTAGTGTACTCAAATCATGACATCTTGAAGGCAAACACTAAAAACATGACACCTTAGATGCTGAGTGGCTAAGAAAGAGAAATATAGTGGGTCAGCTAATCCGTCAGACTTCTGAGGCATTGTAACTTGCGTGATTCAAGAGTTTGTGTCAATGTTTTAATGAATGGTCTTATTACATTTGCATTGACATGATTTTTTTCTACGTATCTATTATCTCCATCTCGTTGTCTCGTGGCCATTTCTCGTTCGAATTTACATCACTGTAATTTTGAATTATCAAAATTTAATTAGTCGATGAGATACAGAAATGTGGATTACGGATGCGACTTGTTAACAAGGACTTCATGAAAATGTCACATTTTAAATTTTTGAGCACCAACCTCAATTAGGAAGCAAAATCTAGTTAAGAGAAGTTGGCCGTGCGAGCATCACGTTATAATTTAATAAACGATCGTTATTAGGGATTAATTATTAATTATATTAAAAGATTGGGGATTGGTGTGTTTCTTTTTAAAAGTTGGGGACAACTTACCACTAAACAATAGATCGAGGATTAGTAATGCAATTTGACCATAGATTTATATATTATAATAAAGACTCCGTTTTAATTCAACCTAATAAAGTGACTATAAAGTGAATTAGAGATTAAGCCCCCGGCCCCTATTAATTTGTAATACATATTTATTTTTCTTCTTTTTAATCACACATTTTTCAATAAAATAATATTGCACACAAATAAAAATATTCATATTTTTTAACCACACATTCTCCAAAACAACACTATTTCAAAAATTATAATATCAAACAATGGAAGTCAAACAGAGGCTAAGATTATTGTCCGGAATATTTTTCATTTCCTTATAAAAAAGGAAGAATTGCAACCACACTATCAAACATTATTTAATAGCAAATTTTGTTCAAACCTTTCATTTGTACCATTTCGAGTACCAAATCTTCAAAAAAATCACAACTCAAGTCCAAAATGACGATTTTCGTCAGTTTGACTACCAAAACTGTTAGGGTGCGTTTGATTGTAAGGGTGGAAAATAAGTGGAAAGAAAATGAATTTCGGGGAATTAAATTGCCTATAAATTATTTTACGGGGAATTGTTCATTAATTGCATTTGATTGGTATAATTTTTCCCCTAGAAAATGTTGGAATTTTCCATCTTTTGGTGTTTGATCCGCTTCGTTTCCCATGGAAAATTGTGATTTTATTAATCTCCAAGAAACCATCAACACATATGCTCGTTGTTCATAACATTCACACAAGAAACAATACCGCAACATTCAAATCAGGAAAAAAAAATGGAAGCACCTGCTCTGAGCCTCTGATAAAATAATTGTCAACTACACAATTTCTTAAAACCATTAACCTCAACAAATCAAATAGACAAATATTTAGA